CCGAGGCAGCAGTATCACCCCATGCATCTGTTGGTGGGCTCTGCCTGCTGGCGTTGCAGCACAGAGATGGACCTGCACAGATAAGTCAGAAGTTGTGCTCCAGATGAGATAAGTGCAGCAAAGGCTGGCGGAACTCAAGCTCTCCATTTGGGTCACCCAGAAATGTTGCTGGTGATGGAGAGCCCTGCAGGCACCCCCCCACTGTGGTCACCACCCCCTCTGAGATACTCTCAAAGGTGAGAGATGGGGAGATGCTTGAGAACTCCACAACCAGCTCTTATCTCTGTAATGGATCAACTCAAGGTCATCTCATTGTCCTGAGAGTAGAACATCTCCCAGTCAGTCAATGCTCTCAGGCTTGTGGTTTTGGCTTCTCTGCTCCCCACCTTGCTGCCCTGTTTTGGTGCTGTTGGGGAACAGAAGATTGACTGGGGCCAAGAAGAGCAAAAGAAGCTAGATAGGTGCAGACCACTTTCTGTTTCCCACCCTAGTGGTAGAACCACCTTTGTTTCTTCCTATTTTTATAAACCACAAGAAACAATAAAAAGGTTTGCTTTTTATTTTTTTTTTTAAATGACCCTACAATATTGAAGTAAAATGTGTGTTTGGTGAGGAAGGTTTCAAACTGAAGAAGGGGAGATTTAGATTGGATATAAGGAAGAAGTTTTCTACACAAAGGGTGGTGAGGCACTGGCACAGGTTGCCCAGAGAGGTGGTGGTGCCCCATCCCTGCAGACAGCCAAGGTCAGGCTTGATGGCCTCTGAGCACTGATGGAGCTGTGGGTGTCCCTGTTCTGTTCAGGGATTGGGACAGATGGCTTTTAGGGGTCCCTTCCAACTCAAACCATTCTATGATTTGACAAAGAGGTAAATTTAGTGTCGAGGGAAGGAGAGATCTGCTGCACCCAGTGCAGAGGTCTGCCTGCAGCTGGATTTCCTATGTCTCTGTACTCCCCTTCTTCACATACTCTTGATCATGCCTAGGCTTCATGGTGCTCTTAGAAGTAGATCTGCAGTTGGGCTCATCTGAGCAAACCAGTCCTTAAGGCTAAGATTGGCCTAAGATCACACAATATTGATATATTACCATACACATGGAGACTCCAAGGAACATTATTAGCTCAGGAAGTTACTTTGGTTAAGAGCAATAAATGCTGAGGCAAACAGGGAGGTCTATGATCATTATCTTGTGCTGTAAAGACCGGGCAGCACAATTATCTCCTGATGAATACCTGAGGGAGACTGGGACTGATATCCTTTCAGTATATGGAAAATAGGGCCATATAAAAAAACCGAGGCCCTGTTCAGAGGAAGAGAACCTAAGAACGCTTGCTGGAAATGAGGTACTGGATATATTCCCTTGTCAACAGGGAGCAAGTGATTTGCCTAAAGTAATCACAACTGTACTGTACACAGTTGTTGTTGTTGTTTTTTTTTTTTCTGAGTGAGACCTAACACCCTTGGCATTTTCAGCCCTTAACCATAAAACCTTTAAATAATGGATTAGAAACAGGTGCTAATAATATCCAAACATAAGGAAGGGTTTATGGGAGTCAAAGAGCTTAGGTTCCCTCTATCTCTCAGTCAGCAAATTTCTCCAGTCTTCTGCTAACCAGCCTGATTTCTTGTTGTTAGGCCAGGAGTGCTCATTAAGAGCAAAGAGGGACTGCAAAAGGAGATGCTGGGGTTTGCTGTGTGACCTGCTGCTGTGTTGCATTCTGTGCACTATTGCATCTGCCTTTCTCTTGCTCTCAGCGCAGAGAAATGCCACGGCTTTTTCTCAAGACCTTATAAGACTCTTAATCTGGAGAGGAAACAAGGTCAGGACAACCACTGCCATGTGCAGCCACAGCCTCCAGTGTGATTCCTAATTCATGGAGAAAAAAAAAAAAAAGGCTCAAATTTGGGTTAATAGCTATCCGCTCCTAGGGCCTGATTTACCACGGAGGGCTTGAACTGGATAATCTTTGTGGTCCCTTCCAACCCAAGCCTTTCTATGATTCTACTTTGGGTGTTACTTCTCCCCTATAATTTGACCAGGGTTCAGCTCTGAATTTGAGGAACGTTTCCAGCAAGACTTTTCTCAGAACTGAAGAGTTTTCTGAAATCCCTTTACCCCACCCAGAATTCTACCTTAACGATCCTCAGTGGATGTATCCTTTTTCATTAATGCCTTGAAGTTGCATAGAGATTTATAGGCAGAATATGCCAGAGAGACTGCCAAAGTGCAATTAATGATTATTTATTAAGAAAATCTTGGAGGAGAAAAGAGCTGGAAATCCTCACTCTGAGCAACGCAGCATGTAATCTTCTTTTGAAGGAAAAAAAGTCAACCACTGCAGCATGAGCTCAAGCTGATCTTGTATAGCTTTAACCCGTGATACTATTTCACAGGCTAATGCCTGAGAGATTCCCCTCGTTCTGATGATGAACAGCAATCAATCCCTCCAGAGATTCAACTTAGCACCTGCCTGAAGTTGCACACTGCAGCATGTGGAGCCCTCACATGTCTGAAGTCAGCCCTGCTTTCAGCTCCAGTCTGAACATCACCACAGTTGTGATTTAAGTTTCAAGTAGGGAAGGGTGAGAAGGGAGGCTGGAGTACAACATACCAAAGGAAAATCATTTTTATTGCAAAATCATTGCCTTTTATTATTTATTATAATAATAAAATAAAATAATACTTTCTTTTTTAGGTAGATCATGCAGAATTAGATTCTGCTGTAGTTATGTCCCTCGAATAACGTGTTCTAGACAGCCTTTTTCCTGTAGTAACTGGAGCAATACTCATCTGGGTAGCTCAGAGCTGGCTGAGGTCTCTCCATCTCCCCTGCACACGGAGAAGCAATAGAAGCACCTGAAGTTGGGTGGTAATTGCCAGGACTGCTTGCCTAGCACTGCAGCTCACATGGAATAAGGGTGTGTTTTGCTGTGTAAATTCGGATTCTGAATAATCTTCGTGCTTGTGCTCTAGATATTTTTTGTATGATGTTGTTATTTCTCTTAGCAGCCAGTTGGAACTGTGGTCGAGACTGAAAAACCTCCCAGATGACCCTAATGCACAGAGTATGGAAGTGCCTGTCTTCTACCAAGTAAAATTCCAACATCTGCAGTTTTATTGCCCACCTTTCCAAAAGGAAAATCCTCCTCAACCTATGAGGGGAAGTGTGCTAACTCTTCAGCACAAATTTCAAGAAGTGTGGATATGTGATACTTAGGGACATGGTCAGTGGGCAATATGGTGGAAGGTGGACAGTTGGACTTGATGATCTTAGAGGTCTTTTCCAACCTTAATGACTCTATGATTCAAATCTAAATTATTCTACTGGTTTCCACAGATTGTCTTCAGGCACTGTTCTGTTTTGAACCTGGAGATTTACTCTCACACTGCTGGGCTGAAGCTCACCTGCAACTAAGGTGGGATGGGAAGGCATCGAAGGCATCTGACCTTGTTAAAATAAAAGAATACCTCAAAATAGAAAAAAAAAAAAAAAAAAAAAAAGGAACAATTGAAGCTTTTGCATGTAAAGCATAATGGGTGCCATTTTTATGATTAGAACTCCTGATCACTAACAAAATACTTGCAGCAATTACTGGATAATAAGTACTCAGAAGAGCAGTTAGCTAATTGCTTTCACTCCAGGATAAGGAAAGTATTTGGAAAGTGCTTATCCTCATGAGCATTTTATGACTGGGCATCCATCTAAATTAACTCTAGGTGCCTAGCAGGTATAGGTCAGTATTTGAGCTAACTTCTCAATATTCTTTTATGCTCTGGAGAGGAGGAGCTGCTCGTGAAAGTGAATCACCACTCCTGCCTTTGACATACGCTATGGGATAAGGGGAATTGTGCCCCAGTAGCATGCTGAAGAGGGACCATAGCCTGCTAACTCGTGGGGTAGACACTGTAGGTTGTTTCAGGTCATTTTCACCCATTATGTGACCCAGCACAATGACACCCAGCCATGCACCATCTTCTCCACACACTCTTGGTGCAACCCAAAGAAAGCCTCTATAATCTGGCAATAGAGCCTCAGCATAATCTGGCAAATTGTTGAGCTAATGATCATTAATCATTAGGGACATACTTTTAGTGAGGAAGAGTGATCTGGGATGAAGGGATTGAGGATATTTGTGGTCTGCACCTGCTCTGACCATGGGAGACATCCCTGAATCTGACAACATCTCTTTTTCCACTGAACAAGGAATAATGTTTTCAGTCATCCCTCTGGGGTTGTGATTTTTTCATTCCTTAGTATTTAGAAGAGATAATCCTTTACTTTCACATATTCCATCCTTTGATGGAATACATGGAAGTTTGTCCTGGATTTTGATTTTTTTTCTTTGTGCTCTTCATTCTTCAGGCTGGGAGGGACCTTTGCAATCATCTCATCTGATTTACTGCAGGCTGGAAACTAAAACATGGGCTTTCTGTTCAGAAAAGGCAGAAAAGCATTTGCCACCAGGCATTTCATGCAAAGGAGCTTTTCATGGAATCTCCAAGGTTGGAAAAGACCTCCAGGATCAACCAGTCCAACCATCTGCCTACCACCTACATTTCCCCATTAAACCATGTCCTCCAGTGTCAACATCTAAATGTTTTTTGAGCACCTCCAGGGACAATGACTCCACCACCTCCCTGGGCAGTCCCTTCCAGTACCTGGCTGCTCTTTCTGAGAAGAAATTTTCCCTAACATCCAACTTGAATCTCCCTTGTTGCAACTTGAGGCCATCAATCTTCCCCTGCATTCAGGCTCATGACTTGAATACATGTGTAAAAAGAAGAAGGTATTCAGTCATGCTTGTCACAGAACAGGGCGAATTCCTCAATCAACAAGTCTGTGCAAGGAATAAGGAAAAAAAAAAACATCTTTAAACCTCATTAGTTAATTATCGTCACTGCAGATGGTGCCCAGCTGTAAGCTCCTTTCTGCTAGTCTTAATCCCGTTCCCAGTGGCTACCCTGGGCAGAACAGCCCATTTATTTCTTTATCAGGAGAAGTGGTTGAGCATGCAGCTGTGGGGAAAGCTGTGAGAAGGGGAGCAATGTAAAGCCTTAGGAAGGGAGATGGGGGTCTGTCCCCCCACGTAGGCAGTAGGTGAGCAGAAGTGCTCCATCCTGCATTTATAGGGACAAGCAACGTGAGGAGGAAAGGTTTCTCTCTGGCTTTTTATTTCCTCTGTGAGCATTCACGTGAGGCCCAACTTGGGATGGATTACTGACCTGAGCAAAGCTATGTACCTGGATTACCTTTGCTGTGGTAAGTTGAACCTGCCTCTCTCTGTATTCTGTGCGTGTGTGAGTTGATATAGGGAAAAGCAAGCCAACAAGGGAAGCGCTGGGCTAGTGAAAAATGGCAAGAAATAGGAGCTTTGGTGTTAGTATTAATAACACTTTTCCAGTATGTTGTCTTCTCTCATATCCTTTGTTTCTTACTAGGAAATAAGTTGATGTTCCTGTTAAAAAATTAGCTGAATCATTGAATCATTAAGGTTGTTAAGATTGTTCCCAACATGAGTTGCCTGTGATGAATAAGAGCTGTGCTTATGGCAGAAGCTTGCTGAGATCAAGCAAGAGCTGGTGGCTGTGCTTTGTTTTGTGGAGCAATGCAAAGCAATAGCAGATTCCCAAAGGCTGGGGTTTTGTTTTTCTGGGAGCCTTTGCCCTGGGTTCTGAGTCCACTCCTTAGTGGGGTATTTCCTAAGAAAACGAGTCTCTCTTTTTGAACTGGATGCTAGCTTTCCTGATATAACTCCTTCTTGCCACCTGAAATCTCCCTTGCTATTCAGGGACAGCAGGAGATTAGGAGTGGATCAAGCCTTAAGAAGATCAGGGCTCCTGCATGCAGAGCAGGGACTCCTGTCCATTTCGAGCAGCGCTGCAAAGGCAGGGAGCCAGGCCGTGCACAGGCCTGCTCCAACATGGCCCCTGCGAGCAGAGATGGTGGCTTTTACCACAGTCCCAGCTGGGGGCTCAACCAGAATTTCTGCTCTAATTGTCTTCTGTAAGATCTGAGTAGCCCACAGGACCTTATTTTTTTATTTTTTATATTAACCCTTTTGTTGGCAATCTCCCAGCCTAACTCCAAGCCAAAAGGGAAGCCTACTGTTTTTGGCTAATAAAGGCTTCAAGTCAATAACCCTTGGCTGTTCAAGAGTGAGGTAGCATTAAGAAATGAATTCACTTTTGAAGCTGAATGGAGACCAGAGAGATGATAACATAAGGATTATTTCAGCACAGCATTTGACCCCTTGAATAGTGCAGGGCAGTGAATTTCATCCCATAGTTTTTGGTCTTTCATTTTTTTATAGTCCTTGTATGTCATGTTACGGAAGTCGTGATGTCAAGACTTTGCATCTTTAAGGGCTAAATTAGCACAGATAAGTGGAAGGTTGCTGATAAAGGTTTGCCACAGGTCTGTATTTTAGCAGATAATTGAGCCTTCGATTAGAAGATCTTACAACATTCACTTGCCTTTTGCTCAAAACCCGTTTGGTTTCATTTGTCTACTTTGGAAGAATATTTTCTGGTGGACATGCTCTTGATTTCGGGATTTCTGCATCTCTGTGACTTTTTCTGCAGGGTTGGAATTGATACTTGTATTTGCTTTTGAACACCTAAGACTAAAGTAGGTTCTCAGTCCACCTGTAATCACAGGGAATTATTGGTTGTGATGGCAACTGATTAGTATTTAACACTGGACATCTTCTGCTCCCTAAATTGCTTCTTAGTGCAGCTGAAGGCATGGGATAATCTTTCCATCTCCTGCTGCATTTTTTTTTCCACTTATTTTTTTTCTTTCCTTCTTCACTGGATATCCCTTGGCTCTCTTTTGGATCTTTAATAAGATTCTTCTCATTTCTTTCATTTATTTCCTTGTAATCATGACTGTGTTCTTACTGTGCCTTGGAGAAACCCGAATCATTTGGCAAAGTAGGTGAGGCTTATTGCTACCAATTAATGTTGTTATTAATTTGATCCCATTACATATAAAGAAGGGGAAAACTGCACACTTAAGTGTAAAATATGACTTCTGTGGCTTATACAGTGTTTTTTGTATTGAAAATATATTGTATGCAATATCTGATTATATAATATAAATAAAATACTTTGGAGAAAGACGATGGATCCTCCCCTCTCTGCCCTTTACATTACAGTTCTTTTCTTTAATGTCTATTTTCCTGTATAGAAATAAATAAATTCCCACACTCTAATCTTAAATAACCTGTGAGAAGGGCCTTCTTCATTTCTGGATTATTCCAACCTAAGTGACCTCAGTTCCCCCTTTTTACATTCCATCCCATTACATCTATTTATACTTTCTTGCTCTACGATGGGCAATTCCTCTGCATGCCTGGGAAGAATCAGTGCCTTAACACTTCAACCACACAGAGAATTACAAGCACAGGAGAAAATCAAGACCCCGGTGTAGCCTGTGCCAGAACATAGGTTGAGAAGGGTCTTGATTTCATCTATTTGTGTAGTGCTTACAGTCATCAGCTTCCCCTAACTTTATCTCCTAGCTTGCAGCACAGTCATTCCTCATTGTTCGCCTACAAATGCTGAGAGCTCCTAACAATGGAGATCCTACTTCTTCCTTGGCTCTCAGCTCCCTCCTGCCTGCCAGCTCTTCTATTTTCCCTTGGGCGTTAGTTGGCCAAGCAATGTGTATTTAGTGCTTTCAATCTTTTTTTTTTTTTTCTCCCCCTTCTTCCCTTCCCCCCCCTCTAACCAACCCCTTAATCATTTTGCTGCCTTTCTCCAAAACCTCTCCAAATTGTCAGTATCCTGCAGGCTGTCTGATGTTATCCTCAGCCTTCTTCCTCCTCCTTCAGGGTGTGGAAGTTAAGTTTGTTGCCTTACTTTCCAAGGTGTATCTGCTGATATTGGTGGCCTATTTTGTGAGTGGAGCCCCAAACAGGCTTAAAGGCTTAATGGGTAAGGTGGGCTACTGAAGTGGCTCCGCAAATTCCCCCATGCTGCTATCAGAGCAGTTCACAGGGACAAAATGCAATTTTGTTAGGAAATTTGCCCTATCTCTTCTCGCTTTATTTAGTAAGGCAGTGTAAGTCACCATGCTAGGACCAAAAAGGCAAAAATTGTGTTAAGAATCATTAAGGCTGGAAAAGACCACTAAAATCCTTATCCCCACCATGCCCACTGACCATGTCCCTCAGTCTCCATAGAATCAAAGAATGGCTTGGGTTGGAAGGGACCTCAAGGATCATCAAGCTCTAACCCCCTTGCACATCAAACACCTCCAGGGATGGTGACCCACCACTTCCCTGGGCAGCCTGTGCCACAACATCATCACTCTTTTGGAAAAGATATTTGCTAGTGATGTTCCAGCAGTCTAATACGTGATATCGGATTCAGTTTCTCTTCTAGCTTAGAATCATAGAATAGCCTTAAATGGGAGGGGACCCACAAGGACCATCGAGTTCAACTCCACCTTTTCTCTGCCTTTTCTGACTGTTGCTCTATTTTCCATTAGTTTCTATTGTAACTATTGCTCGTGGATGAGCCTATATAAACATGAGACAAATAGAGACCCCAATTGCTTGTAGGTTCCCTGAACTTCCTGCTTCATACCCACACTCTGTGCCACGTGTTGCGCTTCAGCTGTGTCTCAGCATTCACAGACCACTTGGAAGGTGCCAAGATTAGGTAATATCTGCTGATGGCCTTCTCATGGCATGTGCAGGGCCACCTCGACCTTGTCCCAGCAAGCAGAACCTGGCTGCCTCCGCAGCATCCACTGAGCCGCAGTGACCTCATTGTGTACGCGTGCCTGATTGCAGCATGGAGGTGGGGAAGCCCATTCCTGACAGCAAGCCTGGGCCAGTGCTGACTGGCAGTGTCGATGTCCTAACACGTGTATTTACCATCAGTCACCTCAGCGGTGGCTTCAGAGCACTGCTGGAATCTTAAGAAGCAGTAAACCTGTAGAAATTCTGCCTTCTTGCTCAATCCAGTGCACGTCTAAAAGCTGTATTGTGCCAATTCTGCTCCTTAAATGTGTTTTTAGACTTTGCTATCCTGGTGCATTCACAAAGCGGTGAGAGGGGAACGGGATTCTGCATTCAAGTGCTGGTTAGTCTAGCTCGGTTGCACTGGGAGTGACAGATGAGCAGAGCATGACCTTGAGCCAGGTGAAAAAAGGCCTTGTCAAGTAATAAAAATAAATTTTATAGAATCATGGAATAGCTTGGAATTGGAAAGGGCTTCAAGGATCATCAGGTTCCAACCCCTGGCCACAGGCAGAATTGCCAACTGCCAAATCAAGACTAGATCAGATTACCCATCCAGGGCCCCATCCAACCCTTTGAATGCTTGGAGGGATGGGACATCCACAGCCTCTCTGGGCAACATGTTCCAGCAACTCACCACCTTCTCATTGAAGAACTTCTCCCTGACATCTAATCTAAATCTCCCTCCCTTTAGTTTTAAAGCATTCTTCCTTGTCCTATACTATCTACCCATGTAGAAGGTTGATTTCCCTCCTGTTTATAAATTCCCTTCAACTAATGGGAGGCCACAATGAGGGTCTTCCCACAGCCTTCTCTTCAAATGGAACAAGCCCAGTTCAGATTTAAACACTTAGAATATTCTAAATCTAGAATTACTAGGAAAAGAGACTTGCACTTACTGAAACCTTTGATGTTAAAAGTACACCTTGAAGTAATGGGATAGTCCCTACGGTTGGTTCAATAAATTAGTTTGGTAGGATTTCTTTTCTACTTGAGGGGACAGTCACTGTTGCATCATGGTTCATTTAGAATCATCCTACACAAACTGCTCACTGATTTCTTTAGCTCTGTAGCTTGGTTTTTCTGCATTCTTTGTGCATTTGCTGTCTGGGCTTAGTTATCTGCATCACCTGATGTCCCTGTCTCTTGGCTGCACCACTCTCGTGCCCTGGGATATGGTCATGAGGCCTGGCAGGGACATGGTTCTGACTTGCCTCCATGAGTACCTCAGCATGCCCACGAGCATATCTGGCAGATGCTCTTGCCATTAAAGTTCAAGTGAAGCAAACATGGCAATTGGCCAATCCATGAAAAAGATAGCATGCAGAGTCCTAGGTATATCTTGCAGTACTTTTCCAGAGTATTCCCTTTTTGTTTGGGGTTCGTTCACTCACTTCAGCACGCTATTTCTTTAAGCTTCCTCAAAGGCGTGCAAAGCTTCTTAATAAATAATCTATTTCTTATCACATCTGCCTTTGAGTGAGAGACAGGACAAATGGGACAGTGTTCA